TTTGGCAGCAGGGGCAGAGCTACATTGGCCAATGGTTCGTCCCCCACACCAAGATTTTCACTCTTTGTTATACTTATTGTCCCTCTGAAGTTTTCTAAATTGCCATATCAATCTAGAGTTCATAAAACAATTTATGTTATATCTCACATTTTAGCTTTTTAGCATACTCCTATGTCAAACTTAAAACTCTAAATAAAACAAAATTAACTATAATATAATGTAAACTTCTATTTTTGAGAACCTGATCTAAAAAGTGAACGATTACAAACTTACTTCATTTGAAAAATGAACAAGATAGATGAAACGAAAGACAAAGTTTGAAAAGAAAAAAAAAAACATATATATAGTTTTATTGTAGTTTTAGTTCGAAATTTGGTTTGACTATGCCACCCACGAGTTTATGAATAAAACCAACCTAGGTTAAATTTTCTACAGCCGTACCAATCAACTATATGACTATTGAAATTTTCTAGAAGTTTGTTAAAAAAATCGAGCATTTTGAATACTGCACACTTGTAAACCACAAAGACCAAAAGATCTGTTGAATTTGTTGATACAAGGGCTGGCTCTGACCCTTGTATCCAGAGGAGACAATACTCAAAATTCCACCATTATTTCCCTTTGCAATTGACAAAACCCGTTTGGTAATGTATAATTTATCTTAAATTCAATGCCAGCCACTTTAATTGTGATGCAACAAGAATTTCTCACTCATCATTCAAAAAGAGTAATGTTATTAGATATCGGTGGTACTCAGCACCACCCATTAATACCAACAGATAGAGTCCACTTAAGCATATAGTGCTCTTAAGTATTTTTCTTGTTGAAGCCATAAAAATAAAAGAAAAGAAGCATATAGTGCTCTTAAGTATTTTTCTTGTTGAAGCCATAAAAATAAAAGAAGCATATACTAAAAGTTTGATTAGATTTCACATATGAATCAAGTGAGAGATTTTACATATTATGAGATGATAAAGTGCAAATTTCATCAAAATTTACATGTTAAATTAAAAGGAAAAGGTTTAGTATGAATAGTTGTCACGACCTCAAAAAGGGATCATAATTATTAAAAATTAAATAAAAATTTAATTTAATTAAACAAGATTAATTAATAAAATTTAAGGAATTAAATATTTACAACATAAATATTAAAATATATTACTCCGGAGTCTTACTTTTACAAATAATACTAAAACAGTCTATAAATATATAATTTTTATCAAAATGTTACAACTCTGGGACAGTGTCAACTATTACAGTTTACACACACAAAGTACAGTACAACTCAGAATTAAAAACTATGAAATAGTGATAAACAAACCATCTCGAATCTCAAGCCTTCAGTCTACTATCATCAACTTACTCCGCTGTAAATTAAACTGCTAACCTTAGAGGGGAGAAAACATTTAAAGCAGGGGTGAGCCAAATGCCTAGTAAGGGGGAAAAGACATGACGACTATAAAACAAGGAAGGTAAAATAATAATAAAAACTCGAACACCATCGAAAATAAAATGCATAACTCGAATGCAAGAAATGATAATATGTGAAAAACACCCAATCATGACTGATGCAGTCAAATGTAGAGTCAAGCGGATAATCAAGAATTTGAAAGCTATTTCAAAATACTATATCATTTTCAAATCCATTTCAAAAGTGATAAGGTATCTCATATATAAGTAGTCTTTAAAATACTATGTATAGTATTTTGAAATTCTATTAAACACTAGAATATCCAAGTAATTTGTAGATAGAAGAAAGATAAAGATCATACTCCGGTAGTTTGAAATGCTCTTTCAAAGTACTGAGACGTAATCTAGTGCAAAGTCAAATCACCACCCATGCTACGGAATGCCCCGTCGGGTTTTGGGACCAGTTCCTAAGGATACGATCTCCATATCACGATCTCTGTGGCCATCATGTTGAATCAACTACCTAAATGCTCATTAGATAGCGTTTGAAAACTTATATATATCATGCTCAAATTATCTCAATTCGAGACTTAATTAGCTTTCTAAAATTCACTTCTAAAAACCATGATTCGCAAAAGTCAGGTTTTCCATATATACAATCGCTATATATATATATATACACACACACACACATATAATTTTCATAATCCTTTTTAAAGTCTCAACATCGGTGAAAACTGACTTTTACACCGAGAAGTGAAAATTCATGAAATATGTCCAAAAGGGAAGAGAAATGCAATCTCATGCTCAAACAATATCAAAACTCCAGAAATGAACATGCTAAGTTCACTAATCTGTAAAATATCCATGAATGTATAAACAACAATGCAAAAGTATCATACTCCAATAAGATCCATTAAGTCTCCTTGAGATATCATAGTCGTCAAGTGTTGGTTTTATCCTCTTTTAACACTTTTCATTGTATTCCCTTAACAACCTCATACTTAATGTTAAAACAACCTCAAAGGCTCCAAACTATCAATCATTCAATCATAAATCAATTTTTAACTCGAATCTGTATTCTTCATAAATCTAGTAAATTGGCATATTCGTCAACCTTGACGGGAATATATATAAATTATTATCTAAGTCTCTAAAGAAAGTAGATATTTCCAATGAGCTATCATATACCTAAATCTGAGCTCTCTAAGTACCTCAAAAATAGTCTTCAAGAAATAAAAATTCTGGTTTTCCCTGGTTTTGATAGCTTTTGGAAAGTTTCTACGTCAAATTTCCAATGCGCACAACACGGGCTTCAAAATTCCAAATGATGTGATTCCAACTCCCACACATCATTAATAACATGTCCTAAATATAGGAACGGCGGTTTAGGTGCAGCAACCATAAATCATGAAATGGATATCTCGGTTCTTATTTTTCTGATTTCTTAGAAAATGCAGATTCGGCGACCGTTATGAGAATATTCATAAAAAATTCTACGTAGCCTTACAAATTTTAAAATTAGTGCCTAATCGAAGTAGACATCTAGGGCTTTCTAAAAAGCTATCACAAGCTTAGTTTCAGGTCCGTTAAAGTCTCCAAAAATATATTACACCAAATCAAAACTTGATGGTTTTTCTGAATTTTTTTTTAAAATCATGCTTAACTTTAAAATTGCATAACTTGAGTTATAATTGTCCGTTTGAGGTGATTCTTGAAGCTATACAAAGCTTAGGATGTCTAGTTTAAGATACTAACAAAACAAACATTAAAAACTCATCAAACAAGTACAGTTTTATACTTTTCTTTAGGCTGCTGCTAGGATCCTCATCAAAACCATAGAACGAACACCTAAGGCGCGTAACTCTTTCATCAAACCTTCAATACTCTTCATCCACAACTTAGACCCAAGGGAGCTCCTCTAAACCACACTACTAATAACAAAAATTTAATAAACTCTAAGATTCTCAAAACAAATCCGAATGAACAAAAAGAGGTTTGTATGTTCTTATCAAGCCATATGTGACTGAATTTCCTGTCTACAAACTCATTCTTGAACCTAATTTAAAAGCATATCATACCCATGTCCACATGCAGCCAATCGAAGTAATTAAATTTGAAAATAATGTGGGCTGAGAACACATGCATGGCTGAAATTTGACACATTTACAAGCAACCTTTAACTTAGCTTTAAGGAGGAAAGCTCAAGGTTCATATTTTTAAAAACCAAATCAAGTTGTAACATTAAAATCCATAACTTCCAGCCACTAAGCGAAGATGAGATTATTTTTAGTATAAAAGTAAAAATGAGATTATTTTAAGAATATTTCTGGAACTGATTCTAAAATTGTGTTTGGTTAATTTTTTAAGGGATTATTTCGAGTACAGTAAAACAGTGAAATCGTGTTTGGTTATAATTATTAATTAATATATTATAACATTGTTGATAAGTAATAGAAAATGAAAACAGAAAAAGAAAAATAACTTTAACTGTTTTCTAATTCCTTCATAAAAATCATTCTCATTGTTTGTTGTTTTCATTTGCGTTAACATTTGCTAAATAAATACAGTTTGTAAACCGTTTTCATTTTCGTGTTTTAAAAGACGTGCAGAAATATTTTAAAAATAATCTAAAATTTATTCCAAACGCACATTTTGATTTCTAACTAGGTTGAAGCATTTTTGAGAGAGAGTACGGGTAGAGAGAGAGAGCATGAGAGTGTGAACAGGGGAGAGAGAGTGTCGATGAAAACAAGGGAAAATGAAATTGTTGGTTTTAAAATCATATTTGAGACCCAAAGTTCAAATTACCAAATTGCCCTTTTCATAGCTTTTGTTATAAAAAGACTATAGAACAAAGCCCTGGACCTAAATTGGTCTTTCCAAATTATTACCACTTCATAGTAGGTAAAATAGCCAAAAAAATCCAGCAGGGACCTTTTTGTAAGGTTTTTAAATGCTTAGGAAAAAATTATAAATATTCAAAAGCTGAGGGATCAAATTATAATTTATGAAAATAACTTTTAAATGGCGAAAAATGTATAATAAAATGATTATATCTAAAAGTAAATCACTAATCTTTAAATTAATTAAAACTAATAATTGAATTAAATTAATTTCAATTAATTTAGTCCGGTGTTACAATAGTTGTCTACCATTGGTTGCACTTGTATGTAGCTCCACTGCATATATAGCATGCACTTACTCTAAGGTTTCGTTCAGTTCGCCGATTTGAATTTTCAATTCGAGTTGAAATGTTACTTTATGTGAAAATTTTTGGCCCCGTTTATTTCACCGATTCGAGTTTGAAATTCGAGCTTTGCTATAATAAAAAAACTCTTAGAAATAGTCACATTTAATTTTTTTGGTACAGTAAAAATCTCTCCCATAAAATTACATCTCAACTCAAATTAAAAACTCGAATCAGCGAACTAAATATGCTCTTTAACTGTAGTAAAAAAATTAAATATGACTTTTTATGATAACTTTTAACAAATTAAAAATTTAAATCAGTGAAATGAACTATGCTTAAATAATTAAATAACACAAATTTATTTATTCCGAAAAGGTAGTGTTTGTTATATACGCACCATGTCTAATAGTCAAACACGATGTACTAAATTACCTGTAACGCAGGCAGACAATGTAGAAAGGAAAGTTAAGGAAAAAAAAAAAAAAAAAAAGGCAGCACTAAGCAATATTATTACACATGTGATTGATCTAATTGCATATCTGGTTCTTCCACTTATCAGCCACCTCAGTGAGTGCTTTAGTAGAGTCCCCATCTTCACTGAGAGCCTTTGAAGCCGCTTCTTTCAAGTCCTTCATTCGGTTCCTCAGTTTTTTCCCTTCTTCTCCTTCAATCAGAGCCTTAACGACTCTCCCAATTTCTTCTTTCTCAACGACGCCGTTTTCGTTCGCTTTTGGTCTTATAGCCACTTTCATGTCTTGGGTCAACATAAAAGCATTCATTTTCTGTTCAGCGTAGAGAGGCCAAGCGATGAGAGGCACGCCGTTGACCACGCTTTCGAGAGTGGAGTTCCAACCGCAATGGGTTAAGAACCCGCCGGTCGAGCCGTGGCTGAGGATCTGGGCCTGTGGGGCCCACGAGTGCACCACCAGGCCCCGATACTTGGTCCGGTCCAGAAACCCGTCAGGCAAGAAGTCAAACGAGGTGTCGTTTTGACCGTTCACGTTAAAGTAAGTTGCGTTCGCAACCTTGTCGTTTGGCCTCCGTACCACCCACAGGAATCTTTGCTCGCTCTTCTCCAATCCAAAGGCCAGCTCATGGAGCTGGTGGGAAGAGAGGGTACCACCGCTCCCAAACGAAACAAATAAGACGCTGCCATGTGGCTGGCTATCCAGCCACGTCAGAGAATTCGACTCGTCAACCTTGGTGCTTGGCTCTATATTAACTAGTGGTCCAACTGGGTAGACACGTGGCTTACCGTCCTCCCTCTTCAGCAAGGACGAAATTGCCCCTGGCTCCAACTCTTTGAACGAGTTGACCAAAATTCCGTCGGCCAAACGGTAGCGTTTCGTGTTGTGTAGGGTCCACTTGTAGGCGTCGTTCTTCCTGTCCTGAAGCGGGTCAAGCAATTCCTTACCCGGAATAGGAACACAACCCGGAATCTCGACCGGATCCGTTAATTCCCAGTACTCGCACGACGTCGTTTCGTCGAGCTTGGGCAAATAAAGGAACAGAGACAAGGCCATGGCCGTTGAGGGGAAGAAAATGTATGAGGACAAGTGGAGCTCCCTCGAGACATCCAAGGCGTCCGTACCGAAGAGGTCGACGACGAGGCCGACGAGGCTGACGCGCGAGGCGAGGGACGTGAGCACGTGGCGGAGGTAGGGGAGGGAGCGGGCGACAGTGAGGGTGATGAGCGTCTCGATCTTGGAACCTTCTGGAAGGTCGTCGAAGTTGACCGGCGGGAGAAAAACGTGGTCGATGGACTCCGGCAGACCTTTGAGAACGAATTTCATCTCCTTGGACGGTGGGCCGTCGCTGGGGACCACGAACGTGACGGTGAGGTGGTGGTTCCCGACGAGCTTCTTGGCCAACTCCACGAGCGGAATCAGGTGGCCCATCCCCGGAGAAGGAAAAATCGCCACGTGTGGCGTTTTCTTCTTCTGTGTTTGCGGTTGAAGATCATTATCCATGGTGATTTTTCTGGCTTTGTTTTCGAAGCTTGAAAGGAAATGGGAAAGAGAGAGAGGTTAAGTGTGTGTATAATTGGGTGTTTGGGGGACAATATATAGAGTCGGAAATTCTTTTCGTTTGTTTGTTTTTTTTTTTTTTTTTTGGTGGAGAATGTTTCTGATTTCGATTTTTCAAGTTTTCAAGAATGGATGGAAGGGAAATTCGAGAGAGAGAGAGAGAGTTATCGTAGCTATTTTGCTTTCTATTTTGATGGGGGTCATAACATTAATAAATGGTGTGTGTGTGTGACTGTGTGTGTCATGTGGTGGATATGTGGGTATTGTTATTATTAATGTATGAAGAGTATTTTTATTAAAAAAAATTAAAAAAAAGGAAGAAGAATATGGCATCATTGCACGTTCAGGAAGTGATGATGTAGTTCAAACGTAAGGCTTATGTTATCATTGTTTTATGGCTTTTCAGCAACATTAGCCACCACACCATCCTCTTAGGTTAGGCCATAGTAATGAGATTCCACCTTTTTTTTCTTTTTTTCTTTTTTAGGAAATAGTAGAAAATAGAAAAAGTTTAAGAAAATATATAAATCAATTTTTAGTTATAAAAATTAATATGTCATAATTTGTCAAGTTATGATTCATAATCAAATAAATTATGGATAAACTTATTAAGTTATAGTTCATAATCAGACAAGTTATGGACAAAATTTATGAATTATGGACAATAACTTGTCAAGTTATGGTTCATAATCAGACAAGTTATGAACGAAAACAGTAATTTAACTTATTTATTAACTTATATAAACTATTAATTTATTAATTTTAATTCATCTCAAATCTTAATTTATTTCTCTTTTTTTTGTCAAAGCCATATATGTCTCTTATTTATTTATATCTATATTTTTATTTATATTTTCCTTTTTAACTCTCTTATTGACGAAAAATTGCTTTATGGGAAACTAATAATAGAATCATCATTAGTGCGGGGAGAGGTCAAATCTAAATTGGCAAAAACTATTTCCCCAATCATACCAGAAAAAGCTAATTTATTCATAGATATACAATAGATACTGTATGCTCACTCTTTCTCACAAAATAGGGTACATGATTTTGTTTATTTAGTTCTCTTATTTAAGTTTTTAATTTGAGTTAAAATGTGATTTTATATGAGAATTTTTAACTGTAGTAAAAAAATTTTATGTGACTTTTTGTAAAAATTTATAACTATAATAAAATTAGAATTGAAAACTCAAATTGATAAAATAAACGAGAGCTTAATAAACTCTAATTGCTAATGTAATCCCTTTATTTTTAATTAACTATATAGTATAGTGTATAGTCCTTTTTTTAAAACAATATATGTCAGTGTTGTGTGATCTATGAGAACTGAGAATGAAACAAAGCCCTCACAGCATAACCATTATTTTTTCATGCTATAGAAAATTAACAAATATGGGGTTGTTAGTTGTTACCTTTTTTAAGTGGACATCTAAGTGTGAGTAAGATGATTTTAAAATAAATATAAAATATAGTATGCTTAAAAGTTAAAATTTGAGATGTTCGGTTTATGGATTAAAATCATGAGATTGGAAACTATTTTTTATTTACGTGTATTTTTTGAGAAAAAATACTGTAGCAAATCACAAATCATGATTCGAATCGGGGTACGAATCCCCCAACTAAACAACACATAAAAAAATATGCAAAAGCTGCAGTTTAAAAAATTTTAGGGGGCAAGTGAAAGGAAAATTGTTTTATATTATTCAAAGTGTCGCTCAGGCGATTGACTCCGCCTCCAATGAAGGTTGACGTTTATTTTTTTTTTATACATGTGGAGCCTTTATTAACAAAAAATATAGCACCAGGATTCGAACCCTGGTGAACACACATATACACTCATGACTTAACAATAGGTCAATTAAAGGCTGACAGATTGATCTTAACAATTTATGTGGTTTATTTTCATCATTAGATCACTGATGTCTAGATTAGTGAACGTGCATCCAAAAAAAATATAGGCAAAACTTATGGTAGGTTACACATTTTTCTCGACCAGAATGAACTACGTTTTAGTCGTTATGGATTAGTTTTTCAATGATTTACTATAGAGTAGGAACAGTTCTGTACCGCGTGCAATAAATTTTTAATATAAACGTGCACAAATATAACCATTAAAAGCCTAATGCAACAGTTAAAAACAATACTTTGTATTAGTGGATAAAAATACATGTTCTGTGATAAAGTCCTTAAAAACATATTGTAATTCTGCCGTAAAGTTTTAGGATCTAGAAATGTTAAAACGGTTTGTAATAAATACAAAAATACTGAGAATTCGAAGGATTTGTCTTTATTAAGCGTTCAAGGATGTCCTCCTTCAATCAAATCGGTCGATTTTAGCATTATGTCGACGTCTCAATGCAACTTGCAATTTGGACCTTATTATATGTATCGACAAATAATGTGTAGATATTTGGTATTCAACATTTTTCAACTCTTTCCAAGGGCTCACAAACCATTCTTTTCTTTCTTTCCTTCTTATATTTTTTTTCTTCCCCCTTTTGCTTTCACACGAATTATTCCAGTTTTTATTTATCTTCCTTGCACTATAAGTCCATCTTGTCATTTCCAGGTCCAGGTGCCTCACTGCATTTGAAGTCTCTACGTACGGCACAATTAAGGGTCAAACTAAAGAGCAATAAAAATTTACAAAAATCGAGGGTATAAAGAGAGAAGAACAAACAAATAGGTGAATATTCCTCTAGTATTCTAGTACATGAGGCGACAATTAATTCACACAATGTGCTAAGTAAGAATCTCTTCGAAACCTATTACCTATTTAATTGGCTAGTTGCATGAGCTTTGTCCGTTTTCGTGACTTTGATTACACTGCCAGTCCAAACAATAAAGCAGCCACCAACGTGTCATTTTACAAGAGAATGACATAAAACTGGCTTTGTTGGTTTGTAATGGAATTACCACCCTTCATCTTATCGATTTAAGTTTAAAATTTAAATTTTATTATAGTAAAAAAATTTAAAAAATAATCATATTTAATTTGTTGAAGACGTGTATGGCTTGGGCTTATACTTGACTCAGCACTTAAGACAAAAGACCAAGACACGTGGTCAAGTTGGTCATAGTAATTTGGCATAGGCTAACAGAGTCGGTTTTGGGGTTATCCAAAGGGTATTCAGTTAGGGATTTAATTGTACATAAGGGATTAGATCTTCTTCTTAGAGAGAGAGGGTGACTTTACTCGGTTATAGAGAGAGAAAGAGTCTCTAGAGAGGGAGTCTTGGCTCTGTGAGAAGAGAAGAGACTTGTATAGACGATTGTGTTCTTGATTGTTAATAAAGTGTTGAGGTTCTTTCCAAAAAATATTCTTATTCTTTTTGGTGTGTCTAAATCGTTTCCGTCAGTGTTTTTTCTTTTCTTGTCTTAACTAAATTTGCAGGGGTTGTTTTTCTAACAAATTGGTATCAGAGCTTGGGAGGTAGTCATCAATGGCGGTTGCAAAATTTGACATTGAGAAGTTCACGGGTAAAAATGATTTCGGACTATGGTGATTGAAGATGCGGGCGTTCATGGTTCATCAAGGACTCGAAGAAGCATTAGGAGGAGAAAAGAATCTTCCAAACTCGCTCTCGGAGAAGGAAAGAAAGGACATCCTCGATAAAGCACACGGTGCCCTAATTTTAAGCCTCGGCGACAAGGTTCTCCGGGAAATCTCGAAGGAGAATACGGCGGCCGGTGTTTGGCTGAAGTTGGAGAACCTGTACATGACGAAATCACTGGCGAACAAGTTGTTCTTGAAGCAGAAGCTCTACACGCTCAAGATGTCGCCTGGAAAATCCCTTGAAGATCATCTAGACGATTTCAATAAGATCATTCTTGATCTTGAAAATATTGAAATTAAGGTAGAGGATGAAGATCAGGCTCTGTTGCTCCTTAGATCCCTCCTAAGCGAATTTGAGAATTTGTCAGATACGTTAATCTACGGCAGGGATTCTCTTTCGCTGGAAGAGGTTCAAGCGGCTCTGTTTTCGAAAGAATTGAAGAAGAAATCAGAAGGAAAGGAGGAGGCTACAGTAGAGGGACTGAATGTTTGGGGACGTTCGGAGAAAAGGGATTTCAAGAACAGGAAGAATTCTCGATCCAAGTCCAAAATCGGGAAAAGAAAATGTTTTGTTTGTCACAAAGAAGGCCATTTCAAAAGAGACTGCCCAGAGAGGAAGAAACACGCAAGTGCTAAGGCTAAAAATGATGGTGATGTAGATGTGGTGTCAGATGGGTATGAAAGTTCTGATCTTTTGTGTGTTACTGATCAAACTACACACTCGGAATGGATCTTGAACTTAGGGTGCTCATTCCACATGTGTCCTCATCAGGACTGGTTTCTTTCTTACAAGAAGAGCAATGGAGGGCAGGTGGTACTGGGTAATAATAAGGCTTGCCAAGTCTTAGGAATTGGCTCTATCAAATTGAATCTTGCAGACGGGGTCGAGAGAATTCTGCAGGGTGTAAGGCATATACCAGAACTCAAGAGAAATTTGATTTCTCTTGGTATGCTTGATGCACAGGGTTACTGCCATAAGGCTGAAAGAGGCTTGCTAAGAGTCTTAATAGGCTCATTGGTTGTATTGAAGGGAAAAATACAAAATGGGTTGTATGTGCTTCTGGGAAGAACTGTGGCTGGCACTGTTGCAACAGTTTCAGAAACAGGAATTACTACAGCTCAGTTATGGCACATGAGGATGGCGCACATTAGTGAAGGAGGACTCAGGGAACTCAGCAGGCAAGGTTTTCTTGGAAAGGACAAGATTACAAGCTTGGAGTTCTATGAACACTGCATCTATGGCAAGGCTAGGAGATTGAAGTTTGCCACGGCAGAACACCATACTAAAGGGACACAGATTACATCCACAGTAATCTTTAGGGGGCTTCACGAGTGCCATCTCATAGTGGGGCCAGGTATTTTCTATCCCTCATAGACGATTATTTAAGAAAAGTCTGGATTTGCATATTAAAAAATAAGAGTGATGGTTTCAGTAGGTTTAAGGAGTGGAAGACCCTTGTAGAAAACCAAACTGGTAGAAAGATTAAAAGATTAAGAACAGACAATGGCTTAGAGTTTTGTGGTGATGAATTTAATCAATATTGTAAATAAGTGGGGATTGCTAGACATCACATAGTGAGGAAAACTCCACAGCAAAATGGACTGGCAGAGAGGATAAATAGAACACTCATGGAAAAGGTGAGATGTATGCTCTCAAATGCAAATTTGTCTAAACAT